GCAGGCCCATTAGTCATCAGCCCCTGGCCGCAGGAGGGGTCACAGACACACGGGAGTCCGCAGGGAGGGACACGCCCGTCAGACGGGCCCAGACCTACGAATCAGCCCAGACCTCCAGAGGAGGGCGGCTGTCTCCCCCCCTCCCCCCCCAGCTGGAGCGGGAAGGGGCCAGAGGTTCTGCTGGCCCCACATGCCAGGGAGAGCTCTGCCCACGTGTGGGGTAATGGGTCCCGAAGCTAGGCTGCCACATGGGGCCAGTATGGAGAGCAACAGGAATGGGCTGATCCCGGTGACAGCCTCACAGGAGACTTAGGAGGGAACAGAGAAAAGGGGACACAGAAGCCCCCCCCAGGCTAAACCAGCTGGCAGCAGGAGGAGCTCTCTCTGACCCGTGTCTCCGCAGGGCCGGCGGGGTGCCCAGGAGCCTGGCTCAGGCGAACACCTGGGGCACTGCCTGCAGGTCCAGTTACCTTCAGGTCGTACTTCCTGTGCACAGCGAGCCGGTGGCTGAACACGTTCCTCATGACCAGCATGTAGGTCTCCTCGCTGTCCACGCTGAGCCGGTACATCCCTAGGAACTGGGGCAGCAAGGTGTTCCCGTGACACTTCACCACGTACTGCAGGGAGAGGAGGCAGTGGCCTTCAGGTCGTACTTCCTGTGCACAGCGAGCCGGTGGCTGAACACGTTCCTCATGACCAGCATGTAGGTCTCCTCGCTGTCCACGCTGAGCCGGTACATCCCTAGGAACTGGGGCAGCAAGGTGTTCCCGTGACACTTCACCACGTACTGCAGGGAGAGGAGGCAGTGGCAGACTGGCGGGGCAGGCCAGAGAGCAAGGTCCGGAGACCCCAGCCAGAAGAGGGGGCAGGGATGTGCCTCCGACCAGCAAGCTGGTGGCAGGGCTGGGCTTAGGACTCAGGTCCCACCAAGTGGCAGATTTGCTCCGGCGCCCCCCCTCAGAGCCCCGCCCCCTGGCCGCCCGTACCTGGTGGTAGTGTGAAAGGAGGCTGTGAACGTCAGCCACGTCTTCACTGGAGATCTCCTTGATCACCAGCGTCCTGTCGTAAGACGTGAGGAAACGCCGGTCGCTCCCCTCCCCTTCGTAGTGGGGCGGGCTGCGCGTCAGGGAGACCTGGGGAGCAGAAGCAAGCGTGAGAACAGCACCCAGGCCGGCCCTGGGACGTAGGCCTCTGCTAACGGCTGCCTGCCCTTGCAAAGGGCCCCCCGACCCTGGAAAGGGGGGCCCGCTTACCTGGTAGTCCTGGTCATCGATCCCAAAGCGCTCACGGAGGTTGCGGAAGACCTGCGGGCAGTACTCCTTGAACTTGAAGTGGCTGGGGGGGGGCGGCAATGGCAGGGCCTCGGCAAGCAGGGTGCAAGCCAACACCCCGGGCTTTATTGGAGCGAAATGGAACATGCGGGATCAAAGAGCGTAGGCCCCACTCCCAGGCTGGGGGCGCTCGCCTGGGACGCAGGGCCTAGTCCAAAGAGGGCTCGGGAGGGCACGGCGCATGCTCAGCGGAGGCTGAAAGAGCTGCTGCCATCAGTGGACGCGGAGAGGTGCTTGGCACCTGCCTAACCCCTGCCAGAACCCTGTGACCAGCTGGGGCGCCCCAATGCAAGGAGGTTGCTACAGGAAAGGGGCAGAGAAGAGCCCTGCCCTACAAGGGCAGACCGGGCTCCTTAGATCGGCAAGGCGGAGGTTAAGCGAAGGGAAGGTAACACAAGAATGGCCCAGCAGGGTCAGAGCGAAGGGGCCAGGTGCCTCCCAGGGAACCAACACAATGGGGCAATTTAAAGAATGTGCATCCTGGCTTCCGGAGGGTTAGGGATGCCAAGGCACTGGACTGTGGCCCTAGTAGCTATCAATGGACCTTTCTTCCTTGAACCCAGTTCTGCTTTTGGCCGTCACAACATCCCCTGGCAGGGAGTTCCACAGGTTGTGGGACGTACTCCCTTGTTTGTTGCAAACCCGCTGTCTGTTCGGTTTGTGGGCTGACCCCTGGTTCTTGTGCTGCGTGACGGGGTGAATAGCTCTTCCCTAGACCCTTTCCCACACCCTGCCGGATTGTATGGGCTCATCAATTTAATAGCTACGAACGCTGCGCTCTCCTGATGCGAGACACACTGAGCAGGTGTTTCCAGCAAACCTCAGCTTCTAAGTATCCCTGCGGGGAGCAAAGATTTGAGAAGGGGCAGAGGAAGGAGAGCCAGCGGCTGGAAGGCAAAGCTGGGTGAATTCAAAGGGGAAGAAGGCAGACATCTAACAGGGAGGGGAGTTAGCCTCTGAAGGATCCCCCTCCGCTGACCGTCTAACTCCTGACGGGCCATGCGTGGGGATTAGCAATGGGCAGGGTGGCGCAGGTGTGAGCCAGCTCCTTGCTGGAACGGCAGAGGTCCCCAAGCGAGCCTGCTACAGGGACCATTGGGCCACGCTTGCTGTTCAGTGTCTGCCTGGGCCCAGGTATGGGGCAGTTCAGACCAGCAGGTAAGGTGGGGAGCAGCAGGGAAGAGCTACCCAGCCAGAACTCCACTCCGCAGGCCAGGAGGGAGGCAGCTTCCCGGCTCAGGACAGGGTGCTAGGTCCAGGAGGGGCAGGGCAGACGGCGGCCAATGCCAAACCCAGCAGGTGGGACAGCGACGCCAAGAGGCTGCCCCCTCCAGGGCACTGCCCCTCCCATGGGCTCTGCTTCTCC